GGGGATTTACACAAAAGGACTTTGATCATTTAAAGGATCTTGAAATCGCAAATATTGAACTGCAATCACAACTCGATGCACTCCTAAATGAAAAACAGGATACGGAAAAATCACACAAGGCGAAAGTCCGAAAACTGGAGGCTGATCTTGCACATCTTCAAGATGTTTGTGCGGAAGCATCGGAAAAAATCGAGCTACTTGAACAGGATAATCAGCGCCTCAAGATAAAACAGAGTACAGACTTTTGGAATCTAAGAACAACCCAAAAAAGCACCGATGATAATGAAGAAGTAATTGATCGACTTCTACACAAAGTAAAGGAATTGGAAGAAAGTAACCTTACAATTGAACGAACAAAGATGGATCTCGATAAACGATTACAACGTGCCACACGAGAATTGGATACATTACGACCACAATATGAAGAATTGATGCAAACATCTAAAGACTTTGCAGATCTTCAGAAACGTTATGAAGATCAAGAAATACATATCTCAGAACTAGTAATGGCATTAGAAGAACAACGAAACATAAATTTAGGAATGAGATCTGGCACAAACACACGTCCGGGGTCCTTTTCTGAGCACATGTTAAGACGTCTAAGTGACCCAGCAGCTCTATTGAATCTACGAGGTACAACACCCGCATCAACATCGGGACAATCAACGAAAGTGGCAAAACGAAGTTTATTAGATGAATTGGAGAATGAATGGTATCGTGAATTGGCGCTATTTCAGCGTGATAATCGAAAGCGAGGTACTGGAAATACACCGCCATTCTCACCGGTGATGTCAGAAACTGATCTAAGTGATTTCTATTCACGAAGTGCCGCAATGTCAGAAGCTGAGGATGATATTCTATCAGCGATAGAATACGTATCGGAAGATGAATTCACATTCCTAGACACGTTCAAGGAAGACGACGAAAAAGCAATGTTGCGAAGAGAATGGTTCTTCCGAAGATGGGCGCGAGCTGTATATCGATTCTTAAGAGCTATTTGGAGGTGGTGTCGATTCCTTGTGCTAATATGTGCGGCGGTGGTGATGGCATTATATCGTGGACCCGACGATGTATTACCTGATGACATGTAGTAATATAACAATTGGTTTTTGGTGGAGATTTAGAGTGTATCGAGTTGTGATTGCAGTTCAATATTTGCGATTTCAAGATCCTTTAAATGATCAAAGTCCTTTTGTGTAAATCCCC